GAACGTTAAGCGGTCCCGAGACAAGGCGCGCGGCCAAAGGCTCTGAAAATCGGAAACTACTCTCAAAACGGGAAAAGTGGTCTACGACCACAAAGAGGTGGTCTAAAAGACCTCTCCCTCTCTCAGGCATGGAAAACCAGGCTTGGTCCACAAATCGAGCCGAAACACAAAGAGTTTAGAGGCCCGGAGGTAAAGCACTTGGCCGAAAACTCCGAAAACTCGAAACAAGCACAACATGCACAATCACCGAGCGCTCAATCGATGACATCTGAATCTTAAGGTTGGTCAAAAATGGGGTGTCTACAGGGTGTAACATGCCCTGGGGGATACCCGTGCGCATTAAACAGTTGAGACCCTCAGTCTCTTGACCCAACGCCGATAGACTTTGTTGGACCTGGTGGGGTGATGATTTTGTTGTCAATTAGGTCTTGAATTTTATGGCAAAGGCAAAAACAACGGTTAGTTTCATATCCGTGTTGCTAAAAGAAGGCACAATACGTCGTGGAATCATGTCTAACTGGAAGGCAATCAGGGAGAGGTCAAGGGTCAAAGGGTTTGAGATGGCAGTTTTCTATGAGTATTTGAAGAGCTTTGGACGGAAGCATGTGGAAGGGATTAAAGGTGTGACTATTAGTCTTGGAAGTATTGATACAATGGTTGGCGGGTGTTGACTGGGCTATGAGAACTCTTTAGGATTGGAGCTAGAAGGGGTGTTTCTGGTAAGGTATCCTTCTTCATGGCTTAACCCCTGATTCAAAGTGCCCCGAACTTGGCTTCTCACACTAAATGCATTTGTGGTACCTCCCACCCTGGCATCGAGATATTGACTAGCAAAATTTTATCCACGGTTCTTTCAACAACTATAAGGACTTGTCATTTGTTTAGGCCTTTGAACTTTAAAGTCTTAATAACCCATTAGAGATGTGCACAAGGAACAATACTTGTCGTAGTCTCATTCTTGCTACTTGCTTCAGCTTTGTCAAGGGATTAAGTGGCTATATCTAGGCAAGGCCCATTTGTTGTTGACATGATATCATCCAGGCTTGAGATGGCTTTGGGTTGGCCCATTCCAATTTTAGTTCACCCCAAGATTGAGTGCTTTTTGATGTGAAATTTCTAGCATGTGATGTAGTCGACGATGGAGCTAAGATCCCAAAGGTTAAATCTGCCACAATTCTTTGAAGATCCTCAATCATGCTCAACATCTCAGAAGTAGTGGGTTCGGCCATTGGTGTCCTCGGTATATCTGAACCAGATTGGTCTCAATGGATTGATTGGGCTGGGCTCTTTTGAGTGGGCTGGACTTGATTTGGGCTATTTCGGAGTTCACTTTTTGGGGTTTGAGATGACTGGGGCTCCGATACATCCATCTTGCAAAAGTTAGTGCCTTTTGGAATGAACACCTTAAGCTTGGGCAAATAAGATGGAGTAATATATATATTAGGGTTATAGGTGGATGGCAATGTATGTATTAGGTTTAGATTGGGAGGTGGTGGTGGATGGTTATGAATTTGCGATGGGTTAGTAGTGGCATGGGGTCTTTTTGGTAGAGCAATGATCTCATTGTCAATAAGATCCTGAATCTTATGATGGAGGTGGATGCAACGGTTTGTATCATGACTATGCTGTTGATGGTAAGCACATTTGGTGGGGTCATGTCTTGGTAGAAGAGGACTTGGTAGGGGTTGGGGTCTAGGAGCTCTAGGTGTCCTTTGTTTAGCAGAATTTTCAAGGTTTGAGATAGATCCATGTAAAGAGGATGGAAACTTCGGGCTTGGGGTCAGGTTGAAGTTGTTAGTTTTAGGCTATTATTAGCAAAAGGGTTTTTGGTGGAAGTGGTGACAGTGTTTACTTTTGAGAGTTTCGCAGTTGTTGTCACGACCCAAACCCGCCCCTATGGGTTTAGCACCGTAATCCGCCAGTAATCCGAAATTACCGAAGGCCTGCTTAACAGTAATACAGTAAAACAGAGTATAGGGGCCTGGCGGAAGCCAATACAGTAAATAAATAATATCCAATGAGCTGTGACAGTCTGTGTGCCAAAAAGACTTTTCATATTATTATTATTTACACGTGCAGAGCAGTATGTACAACATTTATAATCTTCAGATCAGGACCTAATCCTATAAACAGTACAGTAACAGTCTATACAGTTAACAAACAGTTACAGAGACAGACGGGGAAATAAAACAACCCTAAGCCATAGCTGACAGGCTCGGAACCTCGCAGTGAGGCACGTGTTGGCTGACAAATAGGCTTACCCGAGCTTGCAGCTCGTCTGGTGCTGTACACCTACATTATATGAGCGTGAGCTAAACCAGTGAATAACATGCGTAAAGAGTTGAATGATGCCCTTACAGTATGAAACAGTTATTAAATCAGGTTTTCAGTCGTTCAGTCAGTGTAGATATGTGGTACATCCTTAGCTACAGTACGTAAGTAGGTCTTGAAGATCGAACAGTTAATGATGGCATCAATCAGTAAACGTAGTGGTTCACAAGGGACGACGGATCTCTGTACAGTAACAGTCAGTAACGTGTTGATAAGGGATGCCACAATACATTAGAATAGAGGACATCATCATTCTTATTAACAGTATCAATCAGAACACGTACAGTTCAATTGTTCAGAAGATAATCATTTTTGAACATATCTTTATATAGTTGTTACTCACAGAGTTCTGGGCTACAGTTAGGCTAGAGCGCGTCCCCAGTCTGCCAACCCTACACAGTTACAGATTGAACACACACTAAGCTACACCGTTGGGAAAGATAATAATTTAATCTCTATCTTGACTCGGTGTGGTTCTACATCTATATCCTCATTAAGATGCCTTAAACTAGGCCTAAGAATGCCTAGGATGAAATGAGGATACAAAGATGTACTTTAAAAGTATTTTCAGAATTTTCAGAAAAACAGGGTTCCAGCTCGAGCGTCGACAATGAGAGGTTAAATCTCCTTACCTAAGTCTTGAGTTTAAGGTGTAGGAGCTTAATTATGAAATCAACCTTCAATTTCTTTAATTCTCCAAGCAAAACACAAGAAGGAATTCAATTCCTCTCCCTCTCTCTCTCTTGGTCGGCTAAGGCAAGGGAAATGAGCTAATGAAATGTTTGCCTAAGTGTATAGTAAGGCTCAAATATAGTTCAAGAAGTGGCCCACTCACAATGGCAAAGTTGTAGATAAGTCTAACTCTTTAATTAGCTTTACTTAATCTAGTTTAATCATACTAAATCAAATTTCGGATAAATATGCCATAGAATCACATAAATTATGATGATCATAAAACACTAATCGATCTCCGGTTCGGCCGTCGATAAGGCCTTCAATTCACAATTTAAACATAAAACATGAACAGATAATCAAACAGTCAAACAGATAGATAATGCATTTAAACAAATACAGTCAATCAATCAGTTTCAAATTTCAGTCAGTCAGTTCAGTATTGCAATCAGTTCAATTACTTTTCATAATCAGTCTCAGTTTAGCAGTAATCGGTAGTTTATCGGTAAACAGCGGTGAGGGTTGTTACAGTTGTGCTGTTACTAGTAATAGTATTGGAATTGTAAACAACATTTTTTCTCATAGGCTTATTACCTTCCACGATGATTCCCTATCTAATGGCATTCTCGATTTGAACCCCAATTTCATGGAGGTCCTTGAAATTGAAGAGTGGGAGAACTATCATTTTCTAAAGTAGCTTTCCAGGTAGATTTCTAACAACCATACGAACTTGGACTTGATCTTTATTTAGAGGCCTGTTTGCCATCATAGCTGCCTTTGTCTTCCATCTAGTGATAAATGTCACAAAGCTCAGGTTGGGCTCTTTACGAGTTGCCTCCAATTCCTAGGTGGTTATCTCTTAGTTGCAACTGATTTAGGTATTTTGTTCTTTGTTGCAAGTTTTGAATCCATCTTGTGCATGTGCACTTTGGCTTTGTTCCCTGAATCTCTGTGGAGGATTTTATTTGGTTGTGTAATTAGATTTTAGCATGCACATAACAGTAGATAGATGGTAGATAGTAGATTTTCTCTCTATCTCATTTCTCATACACATAATTTATAATTTCAAACATTAATTCAATTAAATTAGATTTAATTACAAATTCTTAATAACATACTATAATTCTTAACTTTTAACTCTCAATTTAATTTAATTATATTTTAGATCACAATTAATCTTAAATATTTAATAATTTATTGTAATTCCTAACTTTTTAATCTAATTTTATTTTATTTTATTTTAGATCAAAATTAATTCTAAATTCCTAATTATTTATTGTAATTCATAACCTGTTAATATAATTTTTATTTAATTGTATTTTAGATTAATTCTTAATCATTATTTTTTATTTAATTATATTTTAAATTAATTCCTAATTGTATTTATATTTTAAATCAATACTTAATTACATTTTAATTTATTTTACTTCAATTAATATATTAATCCAATTTTAGATTTGGAAAAAAAAATGAAGGTAAAAATTATTTTTTTATTATATTAATTTCACTTTATTTTTAAAAAAAATCAAACTCACTCTAAAAAATAGTGTGTGATATACTTTCATTAATTTAGATGAAAAAAATAACAGTGATATTTTAATTCAAAATTACATATTCCTTTAATTTGGATTTAAAAAAAAAAAGACATTTTATTTCAAGATCACATAACGAATTTGTGATTATATTTAAATCATAAAAGGGCAAATAGCTCCAACTCCAAATCACGAGAAGATAAAGACCCTTATTTTTAAATGTAGCCCTCAGCCCATTTAAAATTTGGTTACATTATTTGCCATCCCCGTCAAGGCAGATAAGCAGACAATACACAAGACACTGTCCGAAAGCCGGCCAAAATTCCCCTAAAAGTTTTTCCTCTTTTGAACCTACAAAATACCAATACCAATGCATGTGTCAAAAATATATTAATCAGTTCTTGTGTTCTCAGCCAATATCTCCTCCAGGACATATACCTCTATTTCGCACTCGTCGTATCCTCTTCCTCTCTCTCTCTCTCGCTGTGTGTGAATGTTGTTCTCCGTATGCTAGCTTTGGCGTTGTGGTCTGTAAGAGTTGGCCATGGAGGGCATATTCAAAAGAAACTTATCAATCGAAAGCAACAGGCCGTTGCCGCCAATAATCATGGAAAAGAAGCTAGCAGAGAATCGGCGACAGACTCAGCACAGTAATAGTAGGCCTGAAAATGTCCCAGACCTCACTGATTTCATGAACGATATGTTCCTATACGGGACTATAAATGCCAGCGAAAAGGCCTATAATCTAACAGGAGGAGGAGGTTCCGCGGTCGACGATGGTGAGGATTCTGATGATAGCACAAGGAGTAGCGGTAACAATAATAGTAACAACAGTAGTAGGTTAACTCAAGAATGGCTACAGGAAGCCAAGCGCATGGTGGCATCATCGCCTTCTCGGAGTGATTCTCCCTCTAGACTTGTCGGATCTCCCAGGTTTGCCTCCTCGTCCCAGCCCAGATCATCGCTGTCCATGCCTGATCGCAGAGATCCACTTTCTAGGTCTGCTCGCAGGTAATATATGAAGGGAAAAGTTAGGGATGATGAAAATTTTTTTATGAAAGTGATCATGAAAAATTTATGAACTTTAGATTATCTTAATTAGTGTGTGGTATTTTATTCTAAGTGTAATCTAATAATCACAAAGCTTTCATAATTATTTTCATGAATTTTTTTTTATAATACCTACCATTACTGATGTATGAAATATATATTCTCGATATTCATTCTCTCAATTGTGTCTAATGGATGAATGCATGCAAGAAATATCAAGTTTAACCAAAACAAATAAACCAAATGCAAGAACTATAGCTGCTATCCCGTACTTAATTTTTTTCCCCCAATTTCACATTTGATTAGTAAATGAAGATTGCTATTTAAGACTAAAAATTAAATTTAATTTTCAAATTTAATGATGTAGCAAGTAATTATGATATTAAAGACAATATTTTTTTCTCATATCTTCTCCATTTATCAACTAAGTCACATCACTTACATATCATTATGTCAAGAAAATGAGTCTACGTTGGACTTGTATATCATTTTTCTTGATAAATATGTACACATGAGACAACCTTAATTATAGGTCAAATTACACCAATTGTCACTATACATTTTTTTCTCTTATATTATTTTAATCTATATACTTTCAATTGACTTAATTTTGATCATTAATTTTAAATTATGTCAATTTGGTCCAATTGATAACACCGTTAGTGTTTTTGAAGAACAATAATCATTAAATTTGTTGAGATTAACTTACTAAATTGAACAAATTTATAATTTTGTTCCTAAAATCATGACATGTCACTTATGTGCGTATTTTTCACTTAAAAATGTTAGCAGTTGCGCTTGATTGAATTAAATTGAGACAAAATTAAATTTATGGTCAAAATCGAACGAATTTAAATTATAAAAATTAAAACGACACAAAGATTAAAATATAAGAACTACCGATGTAATTTTCTCTTAATTATACTGAAAGGTTCAATATTTCTCTTGTTTCAATATAAAACAACCTCAAATATGAAATGACATTCGGTCAATAAATTCAATTTTAAATTTTCTTTACTCAAAGATTCACACACTAAAATATTTTGTCCATAAGAACAAGTTCTTACAAAATGACCAAACTACCCATATATTTATATATAATATTTTCCTTTTTTTTCTTTTGCATAATTTTTTTCAAAACATATTGCCGATTTTGACTAAAATGTTGTTACGTTTTTTTTAAACACTAGCACTAATCACAAATTGTTATTACTTTTGATAACAAAATATATTTTGTAACAAAATTTTTCAGTGTGTTTGATTTGTATTTTGGGATGAATTTTCAAAAAAAAAAAATTTGGGGGAGAGAGTTTATATATTTTTTTGGTTTATTTAGTTGTGATGATACAGCGTGTTCCAGATGGAACGGGTCGGATTGATCCACGCTTTCCAAACCGGTACCCGAGGTACCAAGCCCACAGAGAGACCTGCACAAGAGTTCAACGGGAAACGGGGAGTCCCCCAGCAAACCTTCCTACGAGCAAGTTAGAAAGAGAGATGGAATGTAGAGATAAATTAGTGATAGAAAAGTTTAACCATTTCCTTGTCTTCGATGCCTGCTTATATCCTCTGCTAATAATTTCGCTGTCCCTTCCGATCTGTCGCCTTGGCCAAAAGTCTATGCTCTGGCTTACCTTGTTCATGGTGAGGCCGTTCTGTTGCGACGGGGAAGGATTATCCCAATAAATGCTGCAGGAAAACTCATTAATGGCTGATGTGTGGTGCAATAACTTTGCAGGATCTTTGTCTACTGATGTGGGTGATTCTCTACCTGCCAAGTGTTTAGATGTCATTGGTATTTGGTGTAACACTGGGTTTCACGAGTGTTGGGCTTTAGTATTTGAATCATGGATTGGACCTTAGGTGGTGGGCCATATCCTTTATGGTCATGTCAGTAGTCCCTCATTCCCAAGTGCAGCTTTAGTCCAACGAAAGGAATAATGAAGAAAATGAGGGTCGTGAGAGATCGACGGAGCGAAGACCGACCGAGAGGTGGGCCGACGGTGAGAGGTGACCGAACGGAGGAACCGACCGTGAGGAGGGCCGACCGCAAAGGGTGACCGAGTGGAGGGACCGACCGTGAAGAGGGCCGACGGCGAAGAGTGACCGAGTGGAGGGACCGACTGTGAGGAGGGCCGACTGCGAAGGGTGACCGAGTAGAGGGAGAAGTGGCGGTGTGCGGGGCTCGAGGAGTGGCAAGACACGTGATGATTTGAAGTGGAAAAGATAGGGTAGGGGAAGGGGGCAGTGGATCGTGATCGTACACATGGCGGAATCCAGTAATGGGGAAGGTTAGGCGTTGAGCAAGAAACGAAGGGATAGGTCAATATAGGGTGTTTGAAAAGGCGGTTTTGAAAATTTTCAAACTTGCAAAATTTGACCTTGACACTTGGAATACAGGCAAGCCTTAGGCGTTTGGTTTTATCCGTTTTACATATCTTTGTGCAAAAAACCAGCACGTCCCAGAAGTAAACTCGTTTGTTTCCAGTGATACACATCTGCAACATTTTGTGAACTTTCTTGTGCCCGCGTCTGAAGCCATTCGTAGACACACAAGAGAAATGGCCCAAGAGGAAGTAGCAACTGCAAGGCTTGATTCGTTTAGCGACGACGATGCGGTGAAGTTGGCAGAATAGTACCGTGCGAAGCGAAGTGAGGGGGGTAGTTAGGCAGGCAGTGCGGGCTCGTCCTATGACGATGATTGCGGCCACAAAACCTATTAGTCAAGTGGGGTCGGACCACTGGCACACGAAGGCCGATAAATCGACATGTACGGTGGAGGAGTTGGAGGAGATACGTGAGAGGTATCAGATTCTCGCGGAGATAGAGTTGAAATTGTCGACATCGAAGGAGAGACCATCCGACGCCCGACCTGGGGAGTTTCCCTCTACGAAGAGGCACTAAAAGGGGGGTCGAGGTTCCTGCTTCCCCGGATAGTAGTGGATGTGTTGAATCGGCTGGAGGTGGCTCCGGGCCAACTGATGCCCAATGCGTGGAAGATTTTATTGGCCTTTGCAAGCGCGTGGCCGCGGGCGAACGAGGGGGCTGCAATGACGGTGGATGAGTTTTTTGCATGTTACAAGGCTTTGGGCCAGCAAGAGACTTGGGTCACTTTACAAGCGGCGGCAAGGAAGGGTCTAGTGGCGGGGTTGCCGTCGTCAATGAAGGGGTGGAGGCCGCGGTGGTTCTATGTGTCCGCCAACTGGAGAGTAGGAGTGCGCACGGTGTGGAAGGTGCCATCCAAGTCGGTTGAGCCAAGGTTGGAGGCGGAGGCAGAGGAGACGGTGAAAAAGGTGAAGGCATGAAGGGAGAAGAAAGGCGCCAAGTGGGACGACCTCGTTCAGCCCTTAGCCTTGTTTGCCTCAAGGCTGGGCCCTCAGCCGACCGGTGGAGATCTTGCGCCGGCAGAACTAGAGGCGAGGAGGAAGAGGCAAGAGGCGGAGGACAGAACCACCTTCGCCAAGGCCGATCAGTACAAAGAGGCGAAGTTAGGCCGCCCGCCCAAACTGATCGTGAGGAAACGAGTCTAATCGCACCCCAAGCCGTTGGAAGAGAAGGACCTGAACGGTTTTGAGCCACGACTACCTCCAGTGGATCCTCTGAAGGAAAAGAGCAAAAAGGAGGTGGAGGTTGTGCTGAAGAAGAAGAAGAGAGTAAAGGAAAGGGAGGAGGGGCCGGTCTTGAAGAGGATGATGGAGGGGATGGCAGAGGGACCCCTGAGTGGCATTGGAGGGAACAACGAAGGGGATGGAGAGTGTCATGGGCCCCGAAACACAACAGGAAAGTGGGGCGACTGGCCCTGAGTAGGGGGCAGAGCAACAGCCCAAGGGGGGTCTTGTGCCCCGAGGAGAAGGAGGGAGGGTCAGGTTGAAGACCGCCATTTACCACGCTCCAGCTATGTCCGGACGACTGAAGAGAGAAGGAGGTGAAGCCAGGACTGCTGTAGATCGGCTCTTAGAAGTAGTGGAGGACGCGGCCGTGCGTTCAATGGCAAGTTTCACAGAAGCCGAACTGCTAAGGGGGCTGTGTTCGGCCTAGATGAAGGCGACGGCCTTAGCAGGAGCCTTACTGAACAAAGCGGCACGCGCAAAAGGTGAAGTTAAGCCACTGGAGGTAAAGCTGGAGGAGGTAAAGGCCCAGCTTGAAAGTTTAAGGAGGAAGACAAGGGGCTGGAGGAAAGCCACACAAAGTGCGTGTGTTAGGGGGCTGGAGTATGCCCAAAACACTAAGAAGATGGAGGTGTTGGCAATGGTGCAGGGCTATTTAGCAGACCGTGCTAATGCTGAGCTGCTCGCGACCAAGTTAGAGGTGGAGACGGAACGCCGCAAGGTGGTGTTGCTCGAGTTCTAGTTGGCTGGCGAGCAGAAGAAGCTGGAAGAGGCCCAAAAAGCCTGTACCGTCGCCAGAAAGCCTGCACCATCTCCATGGTCTGTAATGAAGATCTACGCGCTCAGTCGATCAAAGAAAATGAAGAAGCAGATCAGAAGATCGCTGAGTTGGAGAGGGCATTGGCGAACGAGCAGGCTAGACTGGCAGTTGAGAGGGCAGAGATCGAGAAGGCCCTGGCTGGCGAGAGGGCCAAGTTAGTGGCTGAGAAGGCAGGGTTAGAGAAGACCTTGGAAGAGGAGAGGGCCAAGTTGGCATCTGAGAGGGCGGCGTACCCCGGCATATGTGTTGCAGTGGTAGAGCAGTTCAAGGGGTTCGCCGACTTCCAGATGGCTATTGATGCCGCTATCGCCAGCAGCTTGGCGAGAGAGGGGGATAGGGGGGCTGGCCTGCCGGGAGCGACCGCTGAAAGTAAGAGTGAAGAGAAAGTGATCCAGAGCTTCCAGCAATCGGACTTCTACAAGCATGAGATGGCTGAGTTCTGGGATAACAGTTGGAAGACTTTTAAACGTAAAGCAGAAGAGTTGTTCCCAGACTTGGACTTTAGCAATGTGAGAATAGATGAAGACGATGTG